CACCGACATTGGGCTCATCTGTTTCAAGACCATGTACCCACAGCCACATTAAGGAACATCTTTCCAAGATATCATGGCAATTACACACTTATCCGACCATGATAATTACAGCTAGAACACATCTCTCCCTTAAATTACCCACCAAATGAGCTCATGTTTGAAACTTGCCCACCGGACAAATCTGAAAATTTAACCCGAAAGGGTCTCTTGTCTCAGTCTGCATGATAGAAAGATGTGTGGACAGCCCAGGACTGCACTGTTCCTTTACCAAACACAGCGTAGAATATTGCCCCAAACACGTCGATGGCAGCAGCAATGTAGAAAACAATCTGCCATTCTTCGATGGTGTTCTAGAGGACCATTAGCACAGTTAGTGTTAACATACAGAAAAGGCCTTATTTGATTAAATATCACTACTAAGCTGTTTTATTGTCACGTGCGAGGTGTAAAATGATTACATACGATTACAGATTTAATATAATTTGGATTAACTGACTGAACATAGCATGCAGGTATGTAGTATGCTCTTCTCCGGTCTAATGTAACACTTAGTTACCTTTCTAGGACTATTGGTGCCCCCTATTGGCCAAACCTTAAAAACCTTAATCCTGTACTTACTAAACCAATTACAGAGGAAATGAAGCATTATGCTAAAGTAAGGATACCATCTGTCAGGACACCCAGAGTGTCCTCATTTTGTATGAAGCAGCAGCACACTACATATTAAAATCCAATAAAGTTTACTGCTACCATTCACTACCTCTTTACTCGCAGCTATAAAGATACTGTGTACTCTATGTGTATGTTTAATCTAGATTCCAGACTTTACTTTTGAAACAAACAAAAAAAAAAAGGACTGGTTAGTTACATCGTTGCTGAACATGTTTCTTACCTGCTGAGTCAGAGCTCTTGCTATGACTGGTCCCACCATGCCAGGGATGGTGGCAAAGGTGTTGGTGATTCCTAGGAGAATACCGGCATATCTAAAGGGACAAATAAAAACATTAAGTCCTGAGTAATAAACCCGATAAAAGCACTATGTAGTACATAATGTTGCTACACTGATAATGAAATGTAATTATATTTATAAAAAGAAATATCCTCCATTATCTCATGGGCTATGTTGATGCCT